AGCCCAGTAGAGGGGAGGTTTAACAGCCTTCCAAAGCATCCCCCAGGAGGCTCCCTGGGGACTGAGACTGTCATCCCCACCTTCAGGGCTGCCCTTGTATATGAGAGGGGAAACCCTGGGAAAGCCAAGTAATGCAACCGGAAGGACACGTGGATTCAATTTCAGTTTCTCTTTATTCGTGAGTACTAGGGCTGTGCGAAACGTCGGTCCTTGATTCAATTCAGTGGAGATTCAGCTTGATTCCATGGCCAAATCTCCAAATCCAAATCAAATCAGAGGACCCTTTAATCAGTTTGGAGAGATTTGATGATTTGGACATAGACGCCATTTTAAATATTTTTTCTCTACATATCTCTAGGTAGCAGGGGCTCATGAGTGCTGCAATGCTGGGGGGGATGGAGCATCCTACTGAACCATGGGGGGCTCCCCAGCACGCTCGGCAGCAGACTTGGAAGTGAACCAGAAGCACTTCCAGTCCACTTCCGGGTCTGCGGGGAGAGCGCTGCCCCCCATGTCTGCCCCCCGGGTCTGCAGGGAGCGTGCTGCCCCCCCATGTTCCCTTCCCCCCCCGGCTCAGTGACTGGTGCCTCCTGGGCCAGGGAGGCACCCAGGAGTCCCTCTGTGGCCGATTGCTAAGCCAGGGAGCATGCACGGGGGTGGACCTCAGCACGCTCCCCGGCAGACCCAGAAGTTAACTAGAAGTGCTGTGCCCGCTACCTCAGGTATGTAGAAAAAACTTTTAAAGTTGTGTCTATGTCCGAATTGCTGATTTTTCCGAATCAGCATCAACTCTTCAGATTCAGCTTCGGCTCAATCAAATCAGGGACGCTGATCTGAATCAATTGATCAAATCACTGTCCCTAATTCAGGCTGAATCCTAATCCAAATCAAATAGGGATTTTTCTCATTATCTTTAAGCATTTTAGGGGAACAATGGGGCCAAGATTTCACCCACTCCTTGCATTCTTATTGCCACATTTGAGCAAATATTGAGCACATAGCACCTGCTTACTCTTGTGTGCTCATACTTACAGGAATATGACTGTCAACTCTATTACATACCTGTACAGCTGAATAATTCACAAGTCACAGTCTTCTCAAATGCATACACACACAACACTTTTACTGTGCATTAGTGTAGCTGATTTCTGTCCTACACCTTGGTTTTATGGCTCACATGACTGGCTGTTTACAGTGATCTGAAGCACAGGCCACTTCTGAATAGTCATATAAATCGATAATATTTTCCTTAGCGTCAAAACTTATCTGTAAAATTCTTTAAAAAGAGTATTACACCAGAAACTCCTGTTGACAGAGCAGGATTTTACTGAATTGAGCTGTTACACTTCAGCCTGGTATAACTGATAGTGCTTTCTATCACACTTCTTGAAGAATTCTTCATGATATAATTTCTATTCCTCTGCTGCATAGATAGGAACCCTATTACTGAGAGTCTTATCTTAGGACAGGGCTCGCACTGCTCATAGCAATGACACTACTATTTACATACCAAGATTGACAAATAGGATCCAACCATATCTTAGTTTACTGAGCCATTTTTCTGTCTGAAGACAGATTTAGTTTGAAATAACTCTGGAGTTCAGCAACAGTGAAGCCAGACTCATCTCTGCCATAAGTAACACCAAGTGCAGCACTCAATACATTAAAAAACCAAAGGGAAACAAGTGATTTTCTGTGAGACCCTTCCCTTTTCTGTCCCTCTTAGCTAACAATGGGATTTGGACTCTCTACACTGCTTACATCTGTTGCGTCTTCCCCTCACTGACTCCTTAAATGCCCCTCCCCCAGTACTTCCATGTCCCAAGCACTGGATCATTTCAAGAGCAACAGCAATGACTAAACATTTCTGAAAAGAAGACTGTCTTTGGAAATCAAAACCAAGCAGAGATGAGAGTCTGCTGATTTTTGCTGATGTACGCCTTCTAAAAATTCACATTTGTGTGCAAGCAACAGTAAGATCCTAGCATAAACCATCAAACTACATAACTTGGCCCCTCGCTTAAGGTTATCAAATTTTCTTATAGCACTTGGCTTCTTTTCTAAAACTAGAGGTTGGAATTTATACAATCCATAAGAACACTTCCTGTACCTATCAACAAACCAACGTACAAGGTTTAGACACTGAACAGGCATCCTATTGCTGGTATATCACTTTTAATTAACTTTACTTTTCATGTAGGGGAAATAAAACATTATAGAGTCATCTAGATTGACAAACAACAACCCATTTTTCAAATGGCTCCATGAAATGAGCAAGAATAAAGCTTGAAGAGTGTTACATTTACTTCTGTAGTTCCCAGGGCAGTTCTGAGAACACTAGGTCAGGTATTGTGAGACACTGAGAAAATGTGCAATTTCTTTCCCACTGAGCTGTCAAGGCATTTCATGCTGTGAATAGCTAACACCCTTCTCTGACAACTAGGCAAATATTTCTATTTTCTGCCATTCTAGTCATGAAGTATCTCAGCATTGCCTCAGTTGATTTAGTGCCAATTCAAGTCAGACTTTAGATGTCTGTGCTAGTAACTGGACCAAATATTCTTGATGAAGCCTTGTCACAAGCTCATAGTGTGATTCTTAATACTTTTCTGTATAGTTAGATGGTAAAGGAGGTTATAAAGTTGAGAAGACAGCAGACAGGCAGAACACATGTTCACTGAACTACTAGAATAGAGATTTTAAAACAGAACAGATAGTCTGATATGCCACTGGTACAAATTATTTCCAAAAACATCACTGCGGCATACAAACATTTCAACTTAATTAACGTTTTACCTACTTCGCACACTTCAAATATATTTTTGACCTCCTATCACTTAGAGAAGTCAAAATGTATTATCTGAATAACCAAATTTGTTTTGATAGGACTGAAATTAGGCAATATTTAGCACTTGCAAGTGTTCAAGGCAAAGAATGAATAACAAATTGCTGCTCTACAAACATTTGATATATACTTTTATTATTATATTGTTTTTAACTATATATTGATAGACAAGCTTGCTAACCTAGTGAGGAGAGCTTTAAACTAGGTTTACTGGGGAGATGGAGACCAAAGGTAAGTGAGGAAGTGGGTGACCTGGAGCAACAGGGGAGGTCTCATTCTTCCTGAGAAAGTAGAACAATCAGTTAATTACCTCAAATGTCTCACCTCAAAGGTGAAGGAAGTATCCAGGAGAGCTGGCTGTACTTTAAAGAACCTCTATTAAGGGCACAGGAATGAATTATCCCAACGTACACTGTAATAGGGCCCCGAGTCCCTGTTATTAGAAAGGCTGAGAGGATGGGGGACATGGAACCAGGAAGGGTAGTAAGGAGCAACAGCCCAGGTGGACTGTTATAAGGCCAGGCAGGTAATGAAGCAATTAGCTGCACCTGGTCACTGGGTGCAGAAGACCTGGTTACATGACCAGAAGGAGTCTGGGTTTGGGGATATAAGCCTAGTCTCTGACCATGCAAGGGGCAACCCCTGCCTGCAGCAGGGAGAGCAGATCTTGGGAGGGAGGGGCTGCTGGAAACAAACAGACAGGCACCCAAGCCACCAAGGGGAGCTAGGGAAGGAGGATCTTATGGAAATAGGGTCTACGGGGAACATTTACCCAGAGGAGGGAGACTATTTGTGTTATGAAGCAGCTGGGCTGTGCATTTGTTCTGTTTGTACCAGAGGACCAGGTTATGACTACAGGGGTGCATGGGTGAACTCCCCTTTTACTTGTGCCAAGAGCTAGCCTTGTGCTGAAGGGCTGGAGGCTGGTGCTGAGACTGTAATCCCAGTAGGGCAGCTCCCAAAGCAGGACTGATACTCAGGAGCTGAGGTCTTAAACAATAGAACAAGGCTGAGGGTACAGCCGGAGAAAAAGGGGGCCATGGCCTCAACAGCTAAGACTCCAACAAGTCCTATGGGATGCTCCCTTAAAAGGCAGAGCACTCAAAACCCACAAACAAGGCAACCAATGAAGTTATTCCCAGTTGCAGGGACTGCCTCCCTCAACCAAAATAAACAGGACAGCATCAGAGCATGGTAGGCAAGAGATTGGAGGTGAGGTGGGGCCAGCGGGTACAGGATAGCCTGGTGATGGAGTAGCAGCCTCACCCCTCTCCAAAGGGCACTACATACAGGAGCACTAGCAAGTATGGCGGAAGACCTGCTTGGTTTAGCAGGGAACTCTTCAGTGAGCTAAAACACAAAAAAGGAAGCATACAAGAAGTGGAACCTTGGACGAATGACTAGGGAGGGGTAAAAGAGTATTGCTTGGGCATGCAGGGATGAAATCTGGAAGGCCAAAGAACAATTGGAGTTGCAGCTAGCAAGGGATATGAAGAATAACAAAAAGGGTTTCTACAAGTATGTCAGCAACAAGAAAAAGACCAGGGAAAGCGTGGGTCCCTTACTGAATGGAGGAGGCAACCTAGTGACAGACGATGCAGAAAAGGCTGAAGTAATCAATACCTTTTTTTTTACCCCAGGATTCACAGGCAAAGTCAGCTCCTAGACTACTGCACCAGGCAGCATGGTTTGGGAAGGAAGTGAGCAGCCAACAGTGGTAAAATAATAGTTTAGAGACTATTTAGAGAAGTTGGATGTGTATAAATCCATGGGACTGGATAGGTTGTACCCAAGTGTGCTGAGGGAGTTGGCTGCTGTGATTGTAGAGCTGCTTGTCATTATGTTTGGAAACCTGTGGTGACTGGGAGAGGGCCCAGATGATTGGAAAAGGGAAAATATAGTGCACATCTTTAAGAAAGGGAAGAAGGAGGATCCAGGAAACTACAGACAAGTCAGCATCACCTCAGTCCCTGACTGAAAAATCATGGAGCAGGTCCTCAAGGAATCCATTTCTAAGCAGCTGGAGGAGAATGTGGTGATTAGGAACAGTCAGCATGGATTCACCAAGGACTAATCATGCCTGACCAACCTGATTGCCTTCTATGATGTGGTGACTGGCTCTGTGGATGCAGGGAGAGCAGTGGACATAACATACCTTGACTTTAGAAAAGCTTTTGATAGGGTCTCGCATAACATTCTTGTAAGGAAGCTAAAGAAGAACAGGTTGGACAGATGGACTGTAAGGTGGATAGCAAACTGGCTAGATTGTCAGACTCAGAGGGTAGTAATCAATGGCTGGATGTCTAGTTGGCAGCTAGTATCAAGTGGAGTGCCCCATGGATTGGTCCTGGGGCCAGTTTTGTTCAATATCTTCATCAGTGACCTGGAAGATGGGACAGAGTGCACCCTCAGCAAATCTGCAGATGACATCAAGCTTGGGGGAGTAGTAGATATGCCAGAGGGTAGGGTAGGACTCAGAAAGACCTAGACAAATTGGAGGAGTGTTCCTAAAGAAATCTCATGATAAGGACAAGTGAAAAGTCCTGTACTTAAGTTGAAACAATCCCACGCACTTGTACAGCCTAGGGACTCACTGGCTAAGCAGCAGCTCTGCAGAAAAAGACCTGGGGGTTATAATAGACAATGAGTTGAATATGATCCAGCGGTGTGCCCTTGTTGCCAAGGAGGCTAATGACATACCGGGCTGCATTAGTATGTGTGTGTTGAGGGAAGTGAATATTCCTTTCTATTCAGCACTGGTGAGGCCACACCTGGAGTACTGTGTTCAGTTTTGGGCCCCCGCTACAAAAAGGATGTGAACAGATTGGAGAGTTCAGTAGAGGGCAACAAAAATGGTCGGGGGGCTGGGGTGCTTGACTTGTTAGGAGAGGCTGAGGGAACTGGGCAGATTTAGTCTGGAGAAGAGAAGACTGAGGGGAGGTTTATAAAGCAGCCTTCAACTACCTGAAGGGTAATTACACAGAGGATGGAGCTGTACTGTTCTCAGTGGTGGCAGATGACAGAACAAGGAGTGATGCTCTTAAGTTGCAGCAGGGGAAGTTTAGGTTAGATTTAGGAAAAACTTTCTCACTCAAACAGGCTACCCATTGAGGATGTGGAACCTCCAAACTTAGAGCTTTTAAAGACCTGGGTGGACAAAGCCTCTGCTGGGATGATCTAGATGGGGATGACCCTGCTTAGAGCAGGGGGTTGGACTAGATGGCCTCCTGAGGTCCCTTCCAGCCCTAATTTTCTATGATTCTATGATAGGGCAAATGACTCTACCAGCCACAGCATGATGGCAGAAGGTCCCAAACGTAGGAAACCATTTGATAAACACCTAGCACGGAGCAGCCATTTCACATGATTGTGCTACAAAGACCATTGTACCAAAGTGGCTTTCTCCTTGCAGTTACTGAGTCTCTGTGCAATTACTGAGACTGGATAATGATAGCGTGTGTGAAGAGAGAAACAAAAGTCAACATAAGGAAGTGTCTAGGCTACCTACCTCCTGTCAAGAGGCTATTATATCACCACAGTATCATCAGCGTAATTTTGCAGCACCACTCTAGGTTGTGAGGGGGTTTCTTCTTCGGAATGAGAATTTGCTTGTTTCAACTCCTGCATTTACTATTAGCATTACATTAGTAACACATGAAGAACAGGACTTACCGATACTGGGATAGCCAGGCGTTGATGGGTCTCCTCCATTATTCAGGGAAACCATAAATGCTTTATCGCTAAGATTTTGAGTCTTTGGTAAATCACAAGGATCAATGTAGAGAAGAACGCCACCAAAGCCTGCCTCTTCCAACAGAGAGAGCTGAGGAAACAGAATAGCAGAGGTGACTATTAACAAAAACCTTTGACAGAACTCAAATATTATTATTTGTTGGTATTGCAGTAGTGCCAAAGACTAAGTCATAAGCCAGGATCTTTTTGTATTAGACAATATACACATTCAAACAAAATCGTTCCTCACTTTGGGCATCCCCACACACATATGAGATATATGAGCCTTTTGTTAAATACTTTATTTCTTCTGTGACAATGGATACCATAGCATATCACACAGGTTTTGTACAGGATTTCTGTCCATAATTACTCTTTGCTTAAGAGAAAAAGCACAAGAATCTACAAATGTTCAGAAAACAACAAATATCCTAAATACAATTACATGCACTCTATCTTATCCAGTCTTTGGAGTCTATTTGTGTTTCAATAAGGTAGGACTCTCCCGTGCCTCAGCCAGGCCCTCTATTATCTTCCTTCAGCTTGAACTAGAAAAATGTCTGAAGACCCAAAATGGAGAAGTCAGCTGCCCTTTTAGAACCTTCCAGGTTCCTCTGTCATGAGACTTTCTGAACATCCATAAAGCTGACCACAGATATCTACCCTCTGATAAAGCAGTTCTCCTGAAAGGAAACTACCCAGTCATCTACGGCAGTGTCAAAACCATCGACCATGGTCAAATGAAGGTTGCTGGGCCAGTGTGCAGGTCAAATCAGGCCATGCTGGAGCCAGCACGCCAGGTTGGTTGAGCAGGGTGCTGGGTACAGTGTGCTCCCCATGCCAGCCCCCTGTGTCCCAGGCAGCACACAGCAGCCCCTCACCAGGGGTTGTGCTGTGGGTAGCATGCAGGCTGGACCCAATGCTATGGGAACTGCATGTAGCCCAAGGGGCCAGCACAGGATGTGTGCTGGCTCTGGGATGGCCTGATCTGGACCAACCCTGAAGCCATTAGGCAGGGCTGGTCTAGCACAGGCACAGCATACAACACGCATCCCAAGCTTGCCCCCTGGGCAGCATACAGTATCAGATCCAATCCATGCACCAGACCAGCTCTGCACATCACATGTGGCCTGAAGCGTCAGCCCAAGACCCAAAGGCTGGATCATACAGGTCCAAAAGCTGGATCCAGCCTGGGCAGTATTTCTTACCCAAGGTGCTGCAGCAAGATCCTTTTAAGGGTGTTGTACAATATTAGCACAGTTAGGTGTGCAAACACCTACACATTTTAAAAGATAAATCCTGAGATTTCAAACAGGAATCCATAGTATGAAAGCCATTCTGGCTAGAAATTTGATGTCTCCAGATGAAACAGATCAGCTGTGCCAGGATGCTTCCCAGCACACCTGATCCACATCACTGGGCAAAAGGCACATTGCCCTTTGTCCCATATGTTGGTCTTGCAGGACATCAAGTAATGTATTCTCCCCAGTCCTGTGTGCACCAGGAATTCCCACACAGAACTGGATTCCTCAAGTCTTTGGAATGACTACCCAGCTTTCCCTTCTTACAGAGATATGCCTTGGGAAATCTTAGGGCACATCTCTATAAGCAGGGACCCCCACTTTCCCTGCCTACAGAGATGTGCCCCAAGACTCCCTAGCCTGTCTCTCTGTAACAAAGGAAAGCTGGCCAGGTATGCCCCTGGACTGAGGGGTCCAATCATGCACTGGGATTCCTGAGTTGTGCTGGGCTGGGTCTCCTTCAAGTCCTTGGAGCACCTGCCTGAGGCAACTGGGGAGTGTGCAACTTGGGTCCAAAAAAGTTGAAATCCACTAAACTAGGCTGACTACATTTCAGTGCGACTGTGCTGAAGTTTACAACTCTGATTTTTAGCCCCGTACAAGTAGCCCTTGGAGTTCTAGTCTAAGATGGAGAGAAAAGGAGAACAGAAACACAAAACACCCTTTCATTCATAACGGTGTGGGAAGTTTGACCCAGATGCAAATACATTCTATTTGATACTGGGAGATTTTTATACACCTTAGACAAATTACCAAACTTGTCACAAGCAGTCCAGTGGATGCTAGGTAAATGCTTAAGCATCTGGACAACTAGGCTTTCGTGTTTATTTGCCGTATTATCAGATAATTAAAACAAACAATTAATTCATTTTCCAAATTAGATCACACCGTTTTATAGTGTTGTGTGTGTGTGTGTGTACACACATGCACACGTGTGTTCTTTTTTTAAGAAGAGTTTTTGATAGTCCCCTGAAAATCAGGAGAAAATCCCACTTTTGAGGAATTTGCTGATATTACTTTATTTTAGTTTCCTCAAAACATTGCAGCATGTTGAAATATATTGAACATCTCAATCTTCAATTTAATAGCGTAAAAAATATTTTCCCACATGCCAATTTAGGAACAATGATAGAAACAGATAGGTTTCTGCCCTGGTAAATCATGGCTCAAGAAAACTCATGTTAATTAACTCCAGAGCTTCAGACAAGATTCAGATTCTAGATTCCTTTGACAGCATTAAACCAGTCATCTGGTACCAAAATTGCTAGAAGGGGCCTCTTCAAAAATCCACCACATTATCAGATAACCCAACATAATCCCATGTTTTGATACATCAGGGAATAGTTGGCTGAGGAATGATCCTGCTTCATGTTTAAATTGATAGGCACCCCGATTGCTGGCAACTTCACCTAGCAGGCATGTGAGTTAGGGGTGGAAGGAGTCTCCTCTCTCACTGGTGTCAGAAGCAGAACAGAGCTACAAGCTTCTCTCTGTATGTAATTTATTTAAACTGGGTCTCTGACATTCCTCCGAGTAGGATGAGGTTTACTGTGTCGTTTTCTGTCAGGTCAAAGCACAGATGTCAAGGACAGGAAACTGCATTGGATAAAATCAGAGGAGCCAAGCTGGAGAAAATATTCTGACAATTTTGTGTCAGAATTTGCCAATTTGTCAAAATGTTCTACGAAAATGGATCGACTTTGATGCCATTCATAAGAAAATGAGGCAGCTATCAAACCTACCTACTCCCTGGACAGCCTGCTTCCCCTGCTCCTTGCCAGCAGACACTTACAGCTGCTAAGACTCCTGTTTTTCAGGCCCTGTGGCTGTGGGGCAAGATGCTAGAAAGACTCCCTCGATCAGGGACCTTGTGGCTTCCAGGGTCAGCTTCTTAGGGCAGCCCGCTGCAACTCTGAATGTGGGACTCTGGGACTTTATTTTTGCAGTGAATTTTGAAATGGAGGTGGGGTTGAAACTGAATCAGAACACGTTCAGTCCGGAAACGTCAAAATCCCCAGTTAAATGGAATTAACTTTCTCGGCAAAGTGCTGCAGATCAAACTATGCTACAGTGGTCAACCTATAGTATATCATAAACTGGAGGCCACTCTGGTTTCTGAGAGTCATGTGACCATTTTAATCTGCAATACTTTCATAATGCCTATTACAAACTGCAACTAAATGGCTGAGATGTTTGGACCGCAACACTGTTTCAGGCATTCTTACTGAAGCCTGACAGGAGTGACTTTTCTGTTAGTTCATCAGTTCTTTTCCCGCTGTTTGATCTTTCACTTCTTTTTGGGCACAGTCTTTTCTTTTGTCAACTGTTGCCCCGGTCCTTAAGCCAGCAATCTGCAAACCCTGGACCAAATTCAGGTAACCTCTGGAGAGGTATAACTCTACAGTAAATTTGTAAAGCATCATGACCAATTCCACATTTTATGCCAATGAATGACCCAAGAAGACAACATAACTATGTGCTTGCATTAACACAACTCATTAACACAAGTACAGACTTGCAGAATCAGGTTTTAAAAGAATAGCTTCAAAATGTATGGGCAAGACTTAAAAAAACCCATGAGTGATTAATAATAAAAAGTGGCACATCAAGCAATGATTATTGTGTCCTGCTCCAGATTTTCCTTTCAAACTCAGATATGCATCCAGAACTTGATAGGATAATGAACGTGAGGAAGACTCAAGTAAGGACGAAACTGCATTAGAAACCAAGTGGTCCAACAATGGAGAGTTTAATATCACAATTGTCATTTCTTTGCCCAGTCTCTGCCCATTACAAAAAAAAACAGACGCATGTTCAACATTTATTTGAAGTCCACTTAAAAATCTTTGCACTTTAATTCTTTTTACGCTGTTAGATTCTTCTGGTTCATTGAGAGAAGCTGCATACGTCTTAGTCGCACACTGCAGCAACCACTGCTGCCATGGTTACAATCTCTGCTCAGAAAAGAGGGTGTTGTACATACGAATTTATCAAATGGATTTAAAGTTTTGGTGATAACAACTGCCTTTTGACTGTCAGTCAGTGACATCACGACTGTCAGCAGTCCCCAGTAAATGCTCATCCTGGCCATTTTCCATCTTATAGAAACTCAATTATCCTAATTGCAACAAGAAACCTCAGGCCAATCGCTTAAGGAAGGCAATACATTTTTTTTTGTTGGTTAAAGACACTGGATCACATTTCTATTAAGTCAAATGGTGTATCTCCATCAACACAAGTAGAATTACTCGCTTTTTCAGTGATGTAACCAAAAGCAGAGACTACTGACTAAACCTGTGGCTGTGTGCCCCTTGTTATCACCTACAGCTTATAATAATAGCTTTAGAAGAAAATGGGTACGTCAAAAATGCTGTAAAAAATTACACACAATTGGCTCTCTAGTTTCTCATTGTTAACCATTTCGCTGCCAATTGCTACTGTATCCTCTTTACTGCTGTGTAACACCTGTTTTCCACACAACTCTCAGCATACTTTTGAGCAGTCACTCAGCAAGAAGTATCAGGACCTCAAAACGCAGTCTGGGCTCAGTTCCATGCAAGGTGAAATTCCCATTGACTTCAGTGAAAGCTGCACCATTCGGTTGGGCAGAATTAGCCTTATGAATTCTAATGTCACGCAAAATGCTCCTCTTTTAAAGACGAATAGACTAAGACAGTGGTGTCAACATATGGCCCACAGACTTTGCCCCGACCCTGGCTGCAATGCCAATCACCTGGGCGAGAGCCATGGCACAGGAAAAAGCCGAGCACCATGGCTTATTCCCATGGTA